CGCCGCCACCTGCGACCTCGGCGGCGGCGCCCGCGCCCTGCGCCCGCCACGGCGCTGCGGCGACCGCCTGCGGGCCGTCGCCGCCGCGGCCGCCGCTGTCTGCTCGCGCCCTCCATGGCGCGTCAGCAAGGGACTGAGGCTCTGCCAAAGCAGGGAGGCCCCCGTGGAAGTTCGGCGCGCGTGCGTGCGGGTTGAAGGAGAAGCGGGTCAGTCGACCAATCGAAGCGGCGGCCTGGGGCAGCGGGGACTCCCGAATCTGTGTGGCGCCTGTGGCGCGGGCTTCAACACTTGTCGAAAATCCAAGAGCCTGCCGGATTCAAGCTGCGGGGCCCTTTGGGGGGTGCGGCCTCCACACCGGGCGTCGCGCGCGTTACCGGGGATCGGCTCGCCGGCGTCGCCGCCGCCGCCGCTGCGCCAGGGCCGCTCCGGCGACCGGGTGCGCCATGGCGCCCCTGCCGCAGGGTCGTCGCCTTCAGGCCGCCCTTGGTATGCGTCCCTGGGCGCATGGGTGTGGGGGATGCGGAGGCATGCATGTGTTGTTTGGCGAGGTGCGAAGCAAACGCCTGTGCGGCGTCGACAGTGTTTGGATGGATGGAGCGACCACCCTGCGGCGCGCTGAGCCCGCGCGAGCGCGCTGACTGCGTCCCACATCATCGCCGCTCACCAGTGGTCCAAGGCTCGCCCACGCGACCTGCTCCGGCTCCTGCGGCGGTGCCATCCGTCGCCTGTAGGGCGGCAGGCCAGAGGTAAGCACATGCTCAAGCTGATGCGCGCTGCTGCTGGGTGCTCTGCTGCGCTGCACCGCAGCTTGCTGTAAGGGTTCTAGTGGATGCCCCTGACATCAGTAGAATTCTCATGGCGTACCTGACGACATGCCGCCCTGACACAGTGCTCCGCGCAAGGCGTGCTGAGAAAACCTCAGATCGGTTTGCAAAGTATTTCGAAGGAGGGCATCTGGATTGATGAACGCGTCATTCAAATACCGGTACCTTGCATCCGGTGCTGGCCACGCGAACATGCTGGAACAGTTGCAAGATCCAGCTGGATCAGGTGGGAGCACCGCGTTGACGCCACACCCACCAATTGTGGCGCCAAGGTGCTGCCCACCTGCAATGAGGGTTTCGGCGCCTATGCCGTCTCACTGATCCTGCTGCAAAACCCTGGAACAGAGGTGAGCTGGCCCAGCGGGCCCCGCATTTCAACAGCGCAGCGCGTCCTCAGCTCGAGCTGTTGAGCCGCCGCAACTGCTGTGCACTCTGACTCCAATACTATGCCAGGCCGCGGCACTAGTCCTGTCAGGGATAACGATTTCCTCCACACTGCATGGCGTATTAAATCTCCTGCATCAGGGGGCATCACTGCACCCCGGCGCTACCAGGCCTGGGTGGGTGGATGAATGGAGGGGCGGTGGCTCTCCATGGGCCAGAGCTACAGAGGTGCAGACAGCCTGCACTCGCTTCGCACAGGTGCGCGACACACCGCCACGTGCGCATGCTGCAAATGTTTCTTGGTTTGCACTGTTTCGGACTTGTACTGCTGATTGGTCAAAACGAGGCGTATCTAGCGATGCCTGTCTGCTGGTAATCGGGACTGATGATGTGCACGTGCAGCATGCCTTTAAGCTGCATGCGTGCCGCATCTGCAGTGCCACGCACGTCTTCCTGGCCCAACGGTCTTGAGGCTGCGCAGCCCGCACACTTGCTTTGTGATCGTGTGGGGCAGTTTTTGCCTCCCTGCTTGGCTGGCCTCCTGCGTTAAGAATCCAATATGTACACCGCCCTCTCTATCATGGTTTGCCTGCAGATCAACCTTGTGGCATAACAAGATTCGATTCAGCAATCACGCAACTGCAGGAGATTAAAAGTAATTTGGGGGGGGGGGGGGGCGGGG